GAGAGAGAGAGAGAGAGAGAGAGAGAGAGAGAGAGGAAGGAAGGAAGGAAGGAAGGAAACAGGGATATCTAACAAATCTGCAATTTTATATTTACATGCATGCATGAGTTCCCCCCATATAAAATTCAAATATATTCTTGGTATATCTTTTTAAATATATTTTTATTTTCATTTTATATAACATTTAATAGTTATTGCAAATTTTTAAAAGCTAAGAACCATCATTAGTACTTAATTAGCTGTTGTTGATTTTCTGGGTTATGTGGCCGTGGTCTTGGCATTGTAGGACCTGACGTTTCACCAGTAGCTGTGACTGGCATCCTCAGAGGTATAACATGGAAAGATGGAGTGCTCTGTGTGTTACTTAATGTTTATAGCACCTTATTATGTTGAACTGTTTGTAGATGATTTTAGGATTGTTTAAATTGTTACTGGTGTGTTTTTATTCTTCTATGTAATCCGCCGAGAGCCAGCTTCGTCTGGGAGGGCAGGGTATGAATCTGAGAGATGAATGAATGAACAAATACATAAATATCTTTTGCATGGCTCTCCAGGAGGCTCTGCTCTTCAGTTTTGTCATACCCACCTGCAATTATTTTTTTAATCATAATGGCTTGCCTCAAAGGGCTGTTCTTATACAACACATTTTGCATATCGGGTATATTGTTATTTACCCTCTAGTGGAATGATAGAAAGTATGTTCGAGTGACCTGATTCATCTAAGTGAGCTAATTAAGAACCATATACCATTGTGAATCAAATGTACACCTGGCCTCCAGCCCAGGTTGCCAAAGGGAGGTCACCAGTCAATAAGCAGCAAACGAAAAACAAAAAATCACCTCAAAGGCGGAGACTGCGATGCAAGCAAAAGTTTATTGAAGTGTGACAAAAATAAGCCAAACCGAAACCCTTCTCTAATGTAGATTACAGGGACCTGCGGCATTCACACAAGCGAACTAACGATACAAGTGCAAGAGAGGGAGATGGAAACATACATTTTCCTAGCAAACAAGGAGCGAGTTACAAACTGGTTAATTTTCAGAGATTCCGAGTGCCAGCAGCTGTCATTGCTTTCCATCAGAGCCGCCAGCGCTCAGCATTTCTGAAAGCACAGACCGTAAAGTTAGTCAACTTTTCACATCACAGTTGCCAAAACCCTCGTCCCGGGATTAGCAGGGGGAGGCACAGATGCTACGTCTACGTCTTGGCCGGCAAACCCCAGAAGAGCAGGCCGTGTAACCTCCCACACTCAACGGCTCACAGCTCGCCGAAAGGACTGGTCCTGGGACAACCACCACAAAGGGAGGCGGTTGGATCATGACTTCTGATGGAGGGATCTGGCCAACGCACGAGATGCTGGCCCCCGGGGCGATGCCGAGACTGCTTGCCGATGTTGCACTTCCATAGCCGCATGACCCAAGACCCATCATAGGGGTAGAAGCGCAGGATGGAATGGCGCAGCTGGGTCCACACACGGATGGGTAACAAGACATGTTGGGCGATGTGGATCTGAAGCAAAAGCCATAAACAAAGAGAGAGAAAATGGAAATTATATTTAAATAGTAGCCGTTCGGTTATATTTATTTAATTGAATCATATTCAGTTATGTATATATTATGGCTTGGGACTAGGGTACCAGATGGACCATCTTCTCCCATACGTTCCTGCCCAGGAATTAAGACCACAGGGAGAGGTCTTAATCAAGCTCGGGTGTAGGGTACACAAGAGACAACCTTTTCAGTGGTAGCCCCACAGTTCCGGAACGACCAAATGGTACATAAGAGAGAACTTTTTCAGTGGTAGTTCCACAATTATGGAACAACCAAATGGTACACAATAGAGCACCTTTTCAATGGTAGCCCCACAATTATGGAAGACATGGGCAGCTTCGAGAGGGAATTAGATAAGCATATGGAGCAGAAGTCCATCAGGGGCTATTAGCCACAAGGTATAGATAGGGACTCTCAGTCTGGGGCAAGGGATGCTCTGTATTCTTGGTGCTTTGGGGGGTGGGGGCAACAGTGGGAGGGCTTCTGGTGTCCTGGCCCCACTGGTGGACCTCCTGATGGCACTTGGTCTTTTTTGGTCCCTGTGTGACACAGAGTGTTGGACTGGATGGGCCATTGGCCAGATCCAACATTGGCTTCTCTTCTGTTCTTATGGATAAACATCTGGAGCAGAGGTCCATCAGTGGCTATTAGCCACAAGGTATAGATAGGGACTCTCAGTCTGGGGCAACGGATGCTCTGTATTCTTGGTGCTTGGGGGGGCACCAGCGGGAGGGCTTCTGGTGTCCTGGCCCCACTGGTGGACCTCCTGATGGCACTTGATCTTTTTTGGTCCCTGTGTGACACAGAGTGTTGGACTGGATGGGCCACTGGCCTGATCCAACATTGGCTTCTCTTAAGTTCTTATGACCTCCCCAGGAAGGAGGTATGGCTCAGTAGTGGGCCATCTGTTTGGCATGCATGAGGTCCCAAATTCAGTCCCCGGCATCTCCAGTTAAGGAGATGATGTGAAAGACACTTTTCTGTATGAGACCCCAGAGAGCTGCTGCCAGTCTGAGCAGACAATGCGTACTCTGATGGACCATTGGTCTGGTTCAGTGTAAGGCACCTTCATGAATCCATGTGTGCCTGGCCCCCCTCACTTTTGATCTTTGGGAGGCAGTTGCAGACAGTTTTATTTAGGACCACATTTGGTTGCATTCAGGGGTCATTTCCTGCAGGAGCGCACAGGAGCCCTCAGTCAGAGCAAGAAGCAGCCAAGTAAGCTGCAGAGCCCCCCCAGCCCCCCAGTCCAAAACAGTCCAGTGGCACCTTTAAGACCAAGTTTTATTCAGGTACAAGCTCTCCCTCCTCTGTGAGGACAGATCTGCACGTTCCCCCACCCCACCCCCGATAGCTAGCAATCCAAAACAGTCCAGTGGAGCCTGAGCAGTGGGTGTTGCCTTCTGACACACTTCCGGTGATGTCAGGAGGTGCGGCATATGCAAATAAGTTATGCTAATGAGTTATGCTAATGAGTCCCTGCACCTCTTTTTCTACGAAATGACCCATGGTTGTATTTATAATCAGTCCTGAACTGTGGTTATAAATGCTGGTTTTTGTTTTCAATATCATTTATTTTGCTTGCTCTATCTACGTTGTAAGTCGCCCTGAGCTCCGTACGAAATAAAGGAGAATAATAAAAGTTTTACATATTTACATACGTACTTAAATTACATATTTAAAGAAAAGAAAAGAAAATGTTTGAGAAGAAGTACTGCAAGACGGACATGTCTCATCTGGCGGGGTGACAGATGTTCATAGACCAGTCCTCCAACAATTTGCACAGGTCTTTTAAAAGCAATTTTGACCTCCACATGCTTACTAGTGGGATTCTAATCTGGGAGAACCGAATTTGATTCCCCACTCCTCCACTTCAACCTGCTGGATGACCTTGGGCAAGCCATAGTTCTGGCACAGCTGTTCTCGAAAAAGAGCAGTTTCTGTCAAGAGCTCTCTCAGCCCCACCTGCCTCACAGGGTGTTTGTTGTGGGGAGGGGAAGGGAAAAGAGTTTGTCAGCCGCTCTGAGACTCCTTTGGGTAGTGAAGGGCGGGGTATAAATCCAATCTCCTCCTCCTCTCCTTCTTCTCCACTCCTCCACATGCAGCTGCTGGAGTGACCTTGGGTTAGTCACAAGTTCTTTCAGAGCTGTTCTCTCAAGGGCAGTCCTCGAGAGAGCACTGTCTCAGCCCCACCTATCTCCCAGGGTGTCTGTTGTGGGGAGGGGAAGGGAAAAGAGATTGTAAACCGCTCTGAGACTCCTTTGGGTAGTGAAGGGTGGGTTATAAATCCAATCTCTTCTCTTCTGTCCTCCTCCTCCTCCTCCTAAATGTCATGAAAAAGGATCGATGCTCTCTAATTAGTACTTTTGAAAATTAGTCTGCTTCATACGTTCATTTCCCCCCTCTCATTTTTTTCCACTCAGTGAGACTTTTGAATTATGCAGAATTCCAGAGTAAAGAAATTTCATCCTAGAACCTATGGTATAGAGTCCGTAGAGTCACAGAATCATAGAGTTGGGACCTCCAGGTTCAGCTAGACCAAACCCTTGCACAATGCAGGAAATTCACAAATACCTCCCTACCACCCCCACACCCCAGTGACCATTGTTCCATGCCCAAAAGATGGCAAACAAAACAAAAACAAAAAACCTTTCCAGGATCCCTGGCCAAATTGGCCTGGATGAAAATTGCTTCCTGACCTCAAAGTGGCCACCCATCAAAACTGCCATTTCCTCCAGGGGAAACTGATCTTTGTAGTCTTCAGGCCAGTTTTAATTAATTTATTTTATTTATCTATTTATTTCAATTTCTATCCCGCCTTGCCTGACAAGCAGGTTCAAGGTGGCGTACAATAATAATTTACAATAAAAACAGATAAAATTCAACAATAAAATATAAAGTGCAAATTACATATAAACAATAAAGTGCAGATGGCGATCCTTGTAATTAGCCCTATATGACTATCCCAAAGAAAGTGCCAGTAGCTCGTTCAGTGGCGGCTCCTAATCAAAGGCCTGATGGAAGAGTCCCGCAGGGCCCTGATGTCCACCAGTGTGGAGCTGCCACTGAGAAGGCCCTGGATCTGGTAATAGCCAGTCTGGCATCCTTGGGGCCAGGAACGGTCAGGCGATTTAAAGTCCCTGATCTCAGTGCTCTCTGGGGTATATATGGGGACAGGCGGTCCCTCAGGTAGGCAGGCTCCCGGTTATTGAGGTTGATAACCCTCACTGTCTAATACTCAAACAGGGCAATCATGTGCAGAGCTAGCAATGTCTAAGCCCCCTGATATCAACAGGTTTAGACTGTTGCATCTCTGCATGGGACTGTACAGTATATAAGCCGAGCTTTGCTGTGTGGATCATCTTTGAGCCTCACATAAGAACTCAAGCACAAACACGCAGGGTTATTTATATATTTATGATACTCTATTTTCTGCTGATGCTGCCAGTACTACTTTTTTATTTTTATTTTGTATTTGTGTGTGTGTGCATGTGTGTGCCCTTGCCTGGAAGCAAGTGTGTGCCGGTGCGACTCATACTGGGTACGGAGGACATTCGGAGAAGTGGCTTGATAGCCTGCCCCGGCCTCCTGGCCCTGGCGTTCTCTGGAGGTCTCCCATTCAAATACTTGCCAGGGTCAGCCCTGCTTAGCTTCTGAGATTTGGTGAGATCAGTTTTGCCTGGGCTATCCAGGTCAGGGCACTGCTATTACTATGCTTATGCTAGAGGAGGAGGAGGAGGAGGAGGAGGAGGAGGAGGAGGAGGAGAGATTGGATTTATACCCCGCCCTTCACTACCTGAAGGGGTCTCAGAGTGGCTTTCAAACTCCTTTCCCTTCCCCTCCGCACAACAGACACCCTGTGAGGTAGGTGGGGCTGAGAGAGCTCTTGACAGAGACTGCTCTTTTTCAAGAACAGCTGTGCCAGAGTTATGACTTGCCCAAGGTCATCCAGCCAGGTGCAAGTGGAGGAGTGGGGAATCAAACCCGGTTCTCCCAGATTAGAGTCCGCCGCTCTTAACCACGACACCAGACTCGTTCTCTGCTAGGGTTGCCAGGTCTGGACTGTGAAATTCCTCGAGGTGTGTGGGGTGCAGCTCATGGAGGAAAGGTTTTGGGCACAGGAGAGACCTCAGTGGAATATAATGCCACAGAGTCCACCTTCCAGAGCAGTCATTTTCTCCATGTGAACTGAAGATATCCATCCATCACCTGGAGGCTGGTAACCCTACATTTTCTCCAGGGGACCTGACCGCCTTTACCTGGAGAACGGTTGTGATTCCGGGAATCAGCGGCCTGGGGAGGTGGTGAGCTCCCCCTCCCTGGCAGTCCTTAAGCATCGGCTGGACAAACCCTTATCTGGGATGCTCTAGGCTGATCCTGAACTCAGCAGGGGGTTGGACTAGATGACCTGTAAAGCCCCTTCCCACTCTGTGATTCTATGTTTCTATGATATCTCCAGGCACCACCTGGAGACTGGGATACCAAAAAACAACATTCCGTGACAAAAATAACAAAGGGTTGATAAAGATGAGTTGCAAAAAACGTGAGTGAGCAATTATAGAAGAAAATCCTCTACAGAACGACTACAGTAAACGTTTTTGCAACTTATCTTTCTTGACTCTTGGTTACTGTTGTCGCGGATGTTGTTTTTTTGGTCTTCCACTTCCTCCCGTGATCTCTCATTTTTGGCTTCTACCACCTGGGGACTGGCAACCCCGGTTTCTGCTCTGCTGTTCTTCCCAGTGGTGACCCAAAGCCACTTACAGCTTTCTTCTCCCCTTCTTCTTCCCCTACAGTTTGGTGTAGTGGTTAAGGGCACAGACTCTAATCTGGGAGAACTAGGATTGATTCCCCACTCCTTCACTTGCACCTGGCTGGATAACCTTGGGCAAGTCATAGTTCTGATAAGAGCTGTTCTTGAAAAAGAGCAGTTTCTGTCAAGAGCTCTCTCAGCCCCACCTACCTCACAGGGTGTCTGTTGTGGGGAAGGGAAGGGAAAGGAGTTTGTTAGCCAC